CCTTACCATACATTTTACATTTATTACTACAGTCCGTATTAAAAAAGTAACTGCATAAAAACTTCTCTTTCAATTGAATATCATTCAATCAATATCCTTAATTAAAACCATGCATACATGTATGCCTTTTCTATCACTCGTATCTTCACGAAATCAAGCGAAAAAGGGCGTAGTTTTTCTTTCATGTATTCTTTATTCTTTCGACCACTTGTATCACGGTTCGGTAAACGGAAAATGTGATATTTGTGCTCTATTCTTAGCAAAGCTATTGATGCATGCAGTTTTCACAAAGCGGAAACTTCAAACATAATCATTGAATTTTTTTTTTTTTCTTTGTATGTCAACCAGTACATTAGATGGCAACTGTCGATAGAATAGGATTAAATTGTTCAATATTTCCTAGTTTTATCTTAAAGATAGATTCTGAAACGAAATTACTTCCGTTTTCCATATATGTTGGTAAAATGTTAACTATTGCTCTATAATTATTGTGTTTAACTATTTGTTTCATGTTTATTCATTTACATAGAAAATGTAGCTGGATTTTTTTAAAAAAACAATGTCTTCCTTAACAGATTTAAATAAATATGAAAAAATTTATAACGAAAGATTATATTTTTATTGAAACAATTTGAGCTTCCGTAAATGAATTTTAAGAAACACTAAAGTAAGTTTTTTTGTACTTTAAAGAGTACTGGTTAAAGTATTTGTGGGTGCGTCGCTTTTGTTTTCGTGCGCATCCTATGATTAGGAAAACATAACAATCACTACACCTGATTTTTGTAGTAAACCTTTATTTTTATGCACATTTAATTTCTAACTATAAATAAACCTTTTCTTCTCTTTATTTGATTAGTTTTAATTTATATAAACAGCCAAAATAATCTATGTCTGCATTTTCCTCAATTACAAATTATTTCAATAATAAGTCCCTTAAGGTATCCGACTACGTTCGGAACCGTGATTTTAAAAAAGCGCATAAATGGATAATTTTCATGATATTTAGTGTCATTTAGATTAGAATACATGTATAAATTATTTTTAAGGACATTTTGACAAAATAAATCATTTAAATACAATATTTCGGCGAAAAATGAACTTAGAATAACCTTTTTCCGAAATGTTCTCCTTTTGTCAAAAATACTTCTAGTATAATAATATTTTGCCTGCATATAGCTCAGACATCTGTACAAAGGCTCAACTATGACTTCTAAAAAATTCACATTATTTTCAGAGTTACAACCAATTGAAATAATTATCAGCATTTTTATCTCAAAATATATCACCTATGTTGTCATAAAACATGGATAAACCCACTTCTAAGTTATATATTTCAAAAATTCTAGTTGAGCCTCTGTACTGAGGTTTGAGCTATATATAAACGAAATATTATAATAGAAGCATTTTTCACAAAAGGAGAATATTTTGAAAATGGGTCATTCTATGTTCATTTTTTGTCAAAATAGTGTACTTAAATAATTTTTTATTGTAATACTATTCTTAAAACGATTTTATATACATTTTCTAATCTAAGTGACACTAAATATCATAAATAGTATCCATTTATACGCTTTTGCAAAATCACGGTTCCGAATGTAGTCGGATACCTTAAAATAGTTTTTGTAAGAATTACTTTTAACAGATGTAATAACATCTCTAAGACTTTATAATATAGAAGTGCAAGTTTATATGAGAAAAAATTATAACAATTATTTAATTTAAATACTAGCAGTTACAAACAAACTTCGCTGGATATTTCATGATGTTATATATACATAAATTATTGATATCTTAGCATTAAGAATTCAATTGTATTGGAAAATATTCTTATAATTCTTGATTTAAAAAAGACACACAATTTCAAAATAATAATTTCTAAAATTGAAGTAGAATTAACTTTTGCTCTCTCGTAACCCCCTTCCTAGTGGATTTCCACAAAACCCATTTTTAGTGGTTTTCTCTTCTTAATAAAATAAGCAGATTTGCCAAATTTCAAGTCTAAATCTAATAGATAAAAAACGGATTTTTTTTATTAATGAGTTCCAGTAATCACCTTTGAGAATCAATTTCTGTAAGATCCATTCAACAAACCCGTTCAATTCAACAACAGAGACATACATTCCAAATTACATTAGTGGGGGTCTGGTAGTTCGAAAACAGGTATTTTTTTTATCAATACGCAGCAAAAGATTCCCTTCTATATCTTCTATAGGAGTCGATTTCTGTAAAATCCACTTATAGCGAATTTCTTTTCAACAAAAGTAACATGCATACTAAATTTCATTATGGTAAGTAGTAATTCGATAACGAAAATTGTTTTATAAATAAATCGCAGCAACTCCCCGCTTCCCCCATAGGAGTCAATTTCCGTAAAATCCATTCTTAGTGGATACGTATTTAACAAACAAATAAATAAATAAATGCCAACAAAATGTCGTCTGTTCGTCTAAAAGTTAAAAAAAAAAATGGTTATATTTATCTCCCTTAAGCCTTCATGGCAAACTTTTGAGTCATTTTTTTTTTTTTGTAGCGGACCTCTAATTCTTAGAAGAAATATGCCCACCAAATTTCAAATTTATAGATTTAATAGTTAAAAAAAATGAATATTTATCTTTAACACCCCTTAATAACGCTAATTAGAGGTCATTTTTTACAAAACCTTTTTGTAGAAGACTTCTACATGAAAGGAACATGCCTGCCAAACATTTCAAGTATGTTGGTCTTATAGCTCATAAACGGAAATATATATCTCTAACGCCCCTTAGGAGTCAATTTTACTAACTCAGAAGCCTTCGTGGGCATGCGTCCAACCATTCCCAAACGTTTCATTGCATTCTCCCAAAGTTTCATCGCTATCTGATAAACGGCTTAGGAAGGTATAATAGACATACACACACACACAGAGATATTCATTTTCATTTATATAGATTAGGCTTATTGAGCATAGTCTTGGTATATTATTTATGTTCATTTGGTTGTTCTTCCGTGTTTTCTTTAATATTCCATTGAATATTTTAACATTAATTGCTGACATTAATGGATTTTAATATAGTGATCATGCAACTATATCACGTTCAAATAATTTGCTGAAGTAATTATAAAAAAAAATTTATAACATAAACAATCCTAACACTGAAATTGAAATTTTTTTCACAAGATAATTTCTCAGAAAAATAACATCATTTAAAAATGACTGTAATTTGTAAATGTAGGGCTGCTTTCTTTGTTTTCCTTAGACATTTTTTTTTATTTTCAGTCAATGAGATTATTAATTTAATGTCATAACTAAAAAGAGATTTACAAATACGTATCAATAATAAGCTTTAAGAAAATGATTTTAGAGTTATTCCTTCATGAATGCAGTTAAAATGTATTACGCAATACAGAAAAAAAATGTGTGTAAACATCTTCTACGCTAAGATATATTAAATTTTCTGAGCATTATTTGTATAAGTTTAAAACAATAGAGCCAATGTAAATTATTTTCAGCCATAAATAATGGTGTTTTTTACTGATTATATGTGCAAATATTTATTTTAGCGGAATTATTCTTTACTTTTGTTTCACTCTTCTTTTTGATTTTCAAGAACATTTTTATTTTTTCAAAGAGACAAAAATGTTAATATAAATATTAAATCATTGCAATTAATTTATTTCTGAATTTAGTTCTCAACTGTGTTTCGCAACTAGGTCACGAACTTTATTCACTCTAATTTAGTTTTCAAACTACTGAAAATTATTTGCTTTTTATTTAATTCACGAAATAAGTTAAGAAATATACGCACATAAAATTTATTCAGTACTTCAAATTACAAAAACTATAATTTTATTATTTTAACCTTTGCAACTTTTGACAGATAACAGAAATTTCATTGTTTCATTGGTAACCACATTTTTATGCAATTCGTTATTTTATCAAAAACAAACATATTCAATTGCAGACGTCAAAAAGTAATTAAACCATTCATTGTATTTTCCAATAAAAATGTTTATATATAATTGAACCAAAGGTCATTGTTATTACCTGAGAGTGGATCACGAAGTAAGAATGACTAGCGATCATTATCCCTCCAGATCAAATTTAATATAAACTCGAAATGTGCATGAATGATCTAATTTACATGTATTCATTTGTTAGTTTGAAATTGCCTTAAAATCTAACTTCCTTTAATAGTCAAACAATCAAAATGATTTGACGATTATAATGAAACAAAACAAAATTCGTAAGAAAGGTAATAAAAAATATATTTAAACTGTGTGTTTTTAGATTCAGGCTTCAAGAAAAACAAATAAATAAATAATGTATTTCTGGCAATTGCCTTTATTTAGGAATGCTACCTTTTTTTCTTCTTTTTTATCATCTTTATTTTTTTATTTAAGTGTTTAAAAATTAATTAAGAACTTACTTCCTTTTTTTAGTAAGTTTATTCATTGAGCCAAATCCAACCAAGAAATTATGTTGTAAGAATATAACCAATATGTTTGCAATAAATAAATTTCAAAAAAAAAAAAGTGTAATATACAATTTTATTTAATATTTGATATTATGAGTTTATTTAGAGCATGTCAGTATCCATTTCTGTGAATCACGTAAATATAAATTTCTTCATTTTATTTTTTTATTTCAGAAAGATTTAAATAAAAAGAATATTAATGAGCTCAAAGTGCGCTAATAAATATGACAATGCAATTTAATATCAAAATATATCAATCTTTGAAACCTATCTAAATTAGAACAAGATATATATATATATATATATATATATATATATATATAAAAACATATATATAGTGTTAAAATTTTCAATCGCTAATAAATTACTTTCTATTCCTCCATTCAAGTTCAAATCCATTTCTTAAAACTTTTAATGAATGACACTTGCTGCTAATGCAGTTTTCTAAAAATTAATCCATTAATTAAATTTTAAGAAAATGAATAAATATTAACAAACAGAAATAATAGTCTAACAGCATATATAGAAAGGGAAATCATTCGCTGTGTACCTGTAGCGCAATAGATAGCGCGTTGGACTTCTAATCCAAAGGTCATAGGTTCAAATCCTACCTGGGATGGCCTAATTTCTGTGAATCTGTTTTTCTTCTAACTATGCTATTTTATTACAATAATTAAATTTTACAAATGAATAAATGGTAACAAACAAAAAATAGCCCAGCGCCATATATAGAAAGAAAAATTGCAAGGAAAATCACTTCCTATTTTGTTGCTTAATATTGTGATTCTGTAATACATATATATATATTAACTATTTAAAAAAAGTAACTAAAACAAAACTTTTTTTTTGTTGATCTAAGTAGGAATTTACTTAATTCTTGTTATTACTATTGTTATTCAAAGACCACTGACGTTTTATCTTTACACACTGCTTTCTAGCAACATCCTCAACCGTATATGAATAATTTAAAGAAAAAAAAGAAAAGTTTGGGCAATTATTTTAAAACTGTCATTTTAAATAAACTCACAATGAGGTATAAAAAGGATGAGAATCATCATGAGAATCAACTTAGATTCTAAATATAGTTATTTAAAAAAATAAAATCAGATTCATTTTTTTATGTAAATTGTTTTCCTGTAAACATGTGTCGGAAATCATATTTCATGCAATATCAATTATGCATATCGACTGGCTTCATTTTTTTTCACTGTACATTCGACCTGTAGGTCAATAATAATGCTTACGCTACCACCGGTACCTGCATTGAAACCGTAATTAGAAGCGTCCGTCTCATCTCCTCGGTTAATTCCGAAGTGGAGCGAAACTAGTCAAGAATACAAACACCTCAGTGGCATAATGATTTAAAATTAATGGTTATTTTGAGGTTACTCGACCCATATTCTTATGCAGCGATCATTACTAATAAAAGTTGATGGCTTCCTTTAGACGCTTGATTGCGAAGAAGAACATGACTCAATAACGAAAGTCTGGTGGTGTTTTTTTGTTTTTTAATTGCATGAATTAGTGTGTAATTGGTAAGGAGCAGGATCCAGGATTCAACAAATCATCAACTTTTAAAAGCTTGTTTCTATTATTTTTCTATTGCAAACAACTAATACAAAATTTAAGCTTTATATTGTTTCATTTAAGTTTTAAGAAAACTTTTAAAAAACAATAAAGATCATTTTTTTATAAACCTTGAAAGCTTTTTTGTGGAGGGGGGGCGTAACTGATTTTCTTTATTATATTATAAACAATGACTTTGAAAATGTATCTATGATAAATCATGAATAAGAATCACAATATTTTTGTTTTCAAAGCATCACTTTACACTTCGATTAAGTGCAACATGTTAGTAAATATTAATAATTCAACGAGTACATGTGTTAAATGTTGTAACTATAACTATTTCTAAATGAAAGTACATAGCAAAAAACCTTTTACGACCTTTAAAGCTTTTCCTAATATTCATCCATGTACCTTTGGACATTGTATTTCTCTAGTAGCTATTAAATCTTTATCACTCGAGCTATAATGATGAGATAACTTCAGAGCATAAAATAAAATTATAATAAATTGATCAATAACAGAGTAAGGTAAAACTTTTTCCTAGATACCATTAACCTTTACCCCATAAATGAATCCATTTTTAGAATAATGTTTTTAAAAAAAAACTCGAAAATTTTTTAATTAACTGTAGCTTTTAATGCACATATAAATCAAAGTAAAAATTAAAATAAAATCTACCCAAGACTTTATTTAATTTTGTTTTCCTTTTTAATTTCATTTTTTTACTTATCCCCAGTCTACTAAAAAACATCCAACTTAGGTTTTAATTTTTAAGAAAATTATTTTTCTTGTTTCAACTAACATGTTATTTAATATTATGACACAATAACAAATTAGCTTAAATATATACTAGGGAGCATTTATTACATTGTCTGAAATAAATAATTGTTTATCGTAGCTGTTGCTGTGAAAGAAAATCATAGTTTAAAAACTTTTAAGGATTTAATTTATCATGGGATTTATATATATATAATTAATCAATCCTCCAGTCTGTTATAATCAGTCAAAGACAATCTTATATAAATTGTTTTTCATAAACCTAATTAGAGTTGGTTTTATTTAGAATCATATTTATTATCCTCCGTGCATTTATTAATAACAACTAAAACGTAAGTTTTATATCTCGATATTATAAACAGGATAATATTTTATAAGGAAGAACTCATTACAAAGTCTCTAAAACAAAAGAATAACAACTGAATTTATTTATAATGAACAAAATGTGTACATCTTCGAAGTTATAAACACCGAATGTTGTTGATTTTGCCAGAAAAAATTGAATATTGTGATACATTAATAAAAAAGTATATGAAATTATTGATATTTTTTAAACGTAAGTAAATGTATTTATTTCAATTGTGGTTGTTTCGCCAGTAGCAAAATAGCATTTAAAATGCATGGAACAAACCAGTATTGCATAAAGAATTGCAAAATGTGTCAAATGTTTGAATATTTCATATAAAATGGAGGGAATTTATGTTTAATTTTCTCATACTTCAGAATACCATTGTACTGAGGAAAGACTACTTTGTTATTTATGCATGTTTTTGTGTTGAAATACATTAAGTTATATGTAAACAATTCATACCTTCCATTTTACTCTTTAATTAGTTCCTGAAGTGCGAAATACATAAAACTAAACCAAAGGTAAAAAAGTAAATTTAAAATGTCTTTATCGTCTAAATTTAAAATAACAGTTTGTTAATAAATACATGTTTTTATTTGAAAATTTAAAACAGAGATAATTAAAACATTCTCTTGATTTTTTTTTTCTTCAAAATAATTTTGTAACACGTTTTGTTTTTTAATACCCTTTGTGTATCAGACATAGGTCTTCAGTATTACCATATTTACTTTCAAGGTGATCATAAATTTGTCGACTGGCATCTAATGACAGTTCCATTCCTATTTATGCTTGTCAGCGTATTAATAAATAAATCGCACTAGTTACATATAAATATCGATAAAAAATATTTTTAAAAAATGGCAGTAAAGTTTTCAAAAGTTGAGTTTTTTAATTATTTTTTTTTATTGAATAAATTTTTAAAAAGGGAATGATGTCCGTGCGATCAACCATTTTATGTGAATTCTCTTACGTTTAATCAATTAAAGGACTCAATGAATAAATGAAGATAATATTATATACCACATTCAAAATCTTCATCACTTTTTCTTTTCTTTTTTTTTTGTGCTTAAAACATCTTTGAAATGAACTTTTAATAACAATATAGAGTTATCAAATGTAATTTCCTTCAAAGAGAACACCTACATAAATTTAAACATTCTTACAAAATAATAGATAAAATAAACTTTGTGAATTTAGCTTATGATTATTTTCGTTGACAGTCGTAACAAATAACTGCATGCTGAATGCCCTTACATTGAACCTTTTTTTATCATACTTCAATCAAAATTCAGTTATTCTATAAATAATCGAGAGCATCTATAAATAAGTTTTTCTTCTGATGTTTCTACTTGAAAACTATATATTAATTTCCTAAATTTGAATATTTTTAACCTTATTCACTGTCTCGTAGGTGGAAGTGGTTATTCCAAGAATAAAACAAGATAAGTTAAAAGCTAAAAGGAAAAGTGACAGTATAATCTGTAATACCATCGACAATACAAAGCGTTTCAGACATATTCAACGTGGTAATCAGATAATGCTTCTGTATAGCTTTTGTTTTAAAACTTTCTGTTAAGATACAAATAAATTCAAGTACAATGATTTTATCAATACACGCGTAAATGCAAATCTTCCAGACGGGAAAAGATTAAAACTATCCTTTACAATTCACAATAATCTTTCTTTTTCTAGACAGACACATAACTATACATTTTACGTAATAAAAACAATAGATATTCTAGTAATAGCAGTATAGCTTATGTGAAAGTGGAGAAGGAAAAAAAACTGTAACAAGTTGCGTCCTTCAGGCGTTATTTTAGCAAATCTAGCCACATGCAAGTTGCTTATCCATAAACTTGACGGAAGCAGTCAAGGTTGATAAGGTATGCTCACCTCGTTTCATGAAAATGACTGCTCTATTTTGTTCTATGTTCTATAAAGAGAAGACAAAGAAGAGAAAGAACAATAGATTCATTTTTTCCTTAGGAATAGAATCACGAAATGGAAGAATCCGTGGGGATGTCCTATTATGTTTTTCATTGTTATCTAAGATCTTCAAGATTCACAGCAACAAAAATGTTTCGTAATATGAAAAATCATAGAAGGTATAATAGTAAAAAAGAAGTAGTTATTCAAAAAGTCAAAGCATGGTTGTAAAGGTGTAAAGCTTTCTTGTTGGTTGATCGTAATTAAAGAAAGGTATTGCTTGGAATGGTTTTTAAAATGTAAAGATTTGACGAGATAGTATTTGCTCATAAATATTTTCTTTGAAAAAATTATTTTTAATATTTGCTAGAATGTTGATAAATTTTTACCTTTATATTTATATATATATATATATATATATATATATATATATATATATATATTTATATATATATAATGTAGACAAAAATGTATTACAAAATATATATTATTTTTAAAAATTAATAAAATAAGAACTTTTAATATGTTATAATTTAATAATAAATATATGTTATGATGTGGAATGTGTATAAGAATATATAAAGATAATGTAATTTATATAATGTATATTTTATAATATATTTTATAATGAATATATTATGATAAAATGTGTGTAAGAATATACAATGATAATGTAATTTATATAATGTATATAATAGGTGTATAATAATACTATCCATAATATATTATTTAAATCTTTTAAATTTTTCAGCAAGTTTGTTTTCAAAAAACGTATTCAGATTGAAAGTATTATCACTTTAGTACAGCTTAAGGTGTAAAATTAACGAAATTACACGAATTACAATCTCTCAATTTCAATTTCCAAAAAAATAAATAAACAAATAAATAAAAACAACCCACCATTTTTTTACAGTATATTGATTATTTTTAGGTTGTTTTTATTATAATTATAAAGAATGGCAATGAAATAACATTTATCAATTCAACACAAATATTTA